GGGAGGGATGTATCTGTCTATAGCCAAAGTAGAAGAGAAGAAAATGAGATTAGTGCTGCATATACTCTGGGAAGTTTATGATGAAACATGGGGAGGTATAGGGTTTTCTAGGGGGCATTAGCTTTGGACAAAAGTTGTTATGTTTGATATTTTTAAGGATGTTTGTTTTTAATTATCAAAAAAAGCTTAAGGATGTTTCTTTTAAGATGAGTAGTCGAGGGATGTAGTTGAATTTATGAAACATAGGGGCTGATTTGGTGTTAAGAATTCAGCTAGAATAGGATAAGAAACAATTTAAGATGAATAAATAAAGACCAAAGGAGCCTCTACATTTAATCATTTAATCTAAAATACCTACATGGAAGACAGGGAGCTAATATTGTGTGTTCTCTCAACCTTGCTGTCCTGGAAGGAAATTAATTTCCAAAATATTCTAAAACCACTTCAATTGATGGCTCAGAAGGCTGTTATATGACATCTGGCACATTATCGCACTTAGATTGTCAAAGTTGCCACGAAAAGGTTTCATTAAAAGGAAGATGGCTATCATTCTCGGAAGTACAGGCTTGAACAAGCCAAATTAGGTGTTTCTATTCAAAGAGTCACGTCATGAGAATATTATGTCCCTCTAGCTCTTTGTAACTGATTCCCTGCCTAAGAAAACTTCTAAGAAGTGGCACCTTGAGAGACTTCAAAACATAATGTGCCAAAGACAAATTGCCTGACTAGGAAAACAAAGACCATGAATATAATTTCTGCAATTTTAGTTTCTGATAAGTTTCATGAAGCTTTACGCAATTGGTTAACGCCTACAAACAGTAAGTGGCTGAGAACACAAGAAACAAAGCAAGTAAATGAAAAAATAAACCAAACCACACCTACCAAGTCATGAGATGATTGTTTTAATTCAGTCAAGACAGTGGCCGAGTCTCCTCTGATGGGGCAATTGAACACCTACATATCATCACGAAGTAATACCAAACATGTTCAAGAGGCTAAGTACAATTTTCCTGGTGTGAACATCAGATCCATTATAACACAAGGAAAATTGAGCTTTACCGCAAAACCAGCAAAAGTAAGCCCACTTTCCACCATATCTCTCTCCAGGCTTCTGGCTTCACTAACCTTCACCAAATTGAAAATCGAGAAAACTTCAAAAAAATTGGAAAAGAAATAGAAAAAATAAGGATTGAAAACTGGATACCATGTAAAAAGCAAACAACCGACAGGAAAAAATCGTTTGCTCCGAAAAAGGAGAGAAAGAGAGAGAGAGAGAGAGAGAGAGAGAGAGAGAGAGAGAGAGACTGTGAAGAACATTCACAGTTCAACAAGATCAGAGCAACATCAGTAACTATGATTTGGTGCATCATCCAGTTAGATAATTGAAATATCCAATTCTCAGACATGTATCTACATTACTATTCAAATGTAATTTGTTGTTATCTTTTTTCCTTGGTAAGTACAATATTTTTTTAAGAAAGTATCATTGATGAATAAAATAGCACTAAGAAAGTGCTGTGATTACATCCAACAGTTGCAAAAGAATGTCTACCCAGTCCATCTAAGCAGATTTTCTATGAACTGTACAAGGATTCAGCATCTTCAACTAATTCTGATTTACAACTCAAATATCTTCTGTTCCTTTTTTTCCAAATACACAACCAGATTGCTGCAGGGACCCTTGGTAACTATAATTTATAAGCAGATTTTGCTAATCCTTGAAACTTTACGGAAGTATAATAAAACATTTTGACCCCACATTCAGATAATTAGATACATTTCAGGAACACAAGGCTTCAGTTTAGAAATAATACAGCTAAGCATATCCAGTACATTTTAAAGTGGCCCCTGAAAGAATATTTAATCACATAGAACCTGAGTCTTAACAGTATCTCAGACAAACAAAAAATGATAGCTATTTGGTGTGTGGAATACAGCAATAGAATATTTTTAAGAACTGGGGGAAAAATTTTGAACTTGGGCACGATAAATATATCTAAGAAAGTTTGTGTTCATTATATGTTAAATAGAACCGCTATCTTTGGGAACAAAAACAAGACATATAACACATTCGATAATTCTACAAACTTCAAAACTTATAAATACGAAGTGATGTCACACCTAACCTCATAATTGAACAATAGAAGATATTATCTAAAAGCATTAGATAATAGGATCACAGCAACGAGTCCCAACTTAATCAAATGTAAGTAAATTTTATTAAATAAAAATAAGCACATCTCCTTTCCAAAAATTGAATTTAACCCCCAAACATATCCAATTCGAGACCTCTAACACATCCAATTTCCAGAAACTTGTATCCCAAAATAAGGATGCTCGTATACAGAAAAATAAAAAAAAAATGATGCACTTTTAGATAATTCTTGTGATGTTTCCTGACATTTTTGGGTCAATAATGTATTGACAACTACCTACAAAGTTCAAAAAGATTTTTTATGATTTTGCTCTTTTGCGTATTGTATTATGCTAGACTAGATAGTGTAAAGTACATGAAACAGGGAAATTAACTATTCCTCTAGTTAATGATGCACTTTTAGATACTGTACAGGTACCGTATCCCAAGCATATCCCTGCCATATATTGAATATCATACTTGGGACCAAATCATAGTATAAAATCTAGTACCCGTGCTTCATACCCATGAATGAACTTTTTGCCATATATGTGATACTAAACAAATAAAACCATCCCCGCTCCCTCTGCCATATATATGTGTTACTAAACAAATAGAGTCATTCCTGCTCCCTCAACTCAGTTCCTAAACAAATAGAGCCATCCTCATTGAATGACAGTAGGAAACAAATATGGCTTGCACAGCACTAGGAGACATCTTAGAGAAAATATTTGCCCATGGAGGGGTTCTTACTGTCATGTCTGGCAGAGACTTGAAAGCCAGAGCCAATACACGTGATCCTTGACGGGTGTATTTCTTGTAGGTTGGCACGTAGGATGGTGGGACATCAATGAGTCTTTCCTGAATTGTCTCTGGTGCACCCTGGAAATATTTAGTAAAAAAGAAATTGATTTCATAGCAAGTAGGAAATTAAACAATTAAATGTACAATGGAAACCAAAAAATGTGCTTGACTGAACCAAAATAATTTGTATTTGAGGACTGAACTGTTTGCAAACACATATACTTTAGCTTAAAAATAATCAGGCCAACCAACAAACACAAAAAGAGTTGCTAAGAAACAAAAAGATATACAACAACAACAACAATAACAACAAAAACAACAAAAAACCCAGTATAATCCCACAAGTGGAATCTGGGGATGGTAGTGTGTACGCAGACCTTATCTCTACCTTGTGACGGTAGAGAGGTTGTTTCCGATAGACCCTCGGCTCAATGAAAGGTGAATAAAGGATATATATATATATCCTGTTTTTGCACCGGCACCTCAATCTGCATCCTCATGTGATGCAAAACACACTAAATCATAAGGACGTGTCAGAGAACTATGCGCACACGGTACTCTTCAACTGAACCAAAGAGCTTCCAACAACAATTCAACCATCACCAGAAAATACTTTTGACAGAAACATCGAACTTTCTTTATCAATTGACAAGAAGAACAAACTTACAAAAAGTTTTACCATATCATCGTCATCAAGAACAACAAGTCAAAGGGCATCCTTCTACGGTTCCTTCCCTATTAAACAGCTCATGTAGTACACGAAGAATTTAATGCCTCCACTTGGACCAACTGACCCAACTCACCCCAATCTCAGCCATTTGTTCTCTTGCTTCATCAAATCGGTTGTTCACCAATCAATCTTAGTTTACTAAAAGCAATAAATGCCAACCCTCCAATGAGCATTTTCAGTATAGTTCATTTTCTCCTAATGTCTGTTCTCCAACTATAGATGTAAAGTAACCCCAACAACTTAATCCATACATAACTAGGTGTAAAATTTCCTCAGTACAAGCAATAGCTGAGGAAATTGC